GTGAAACCATCTTCCCAACATCCACTTCCACCAGCTCATCCAATGGGATCCTAAAGCCTTTCCAGGCCAGCCAAGAGATATGACCCATTCTGTGCGTCCTGGTTTGGCCCAAGGTCCCCTGCTGAAGGACATTGCTCAGCAGCTTCATTAAGCGCTCCACGTTCATCCTCTTCTAGGTAAACATATTAGACCCGTTACACTATTGAAACTTCTGAATCATTTTACTGGACATTCACAGCGTGCACGTTTCTCATTTTCATTGGGCCAGCTTGAAAGGACTAACCTAGCAAGCCATCCTGTATGTGTAAATATAGTCTGGCCATGAGCCACTGAAGCCACCAGTTATATTTCTCTGCACACAATTGGACAGTTCCAGGGCCGATCAGAGCAACGAACAATGTGACATATTCATTGCCATGATGTCTGCCATACACCATCAAAGCAAATAAATCTTATTTTTTTCATTGAATGACTTACTGTAAGTACCTCTATCTGCTCATGTCTCAAAGAAAGGCTTAAATCTAAATAGTTCAAATTTAATGCCAACGCTGTTTCTAATGAGCACCATTCCTGAGCTGACGCCATCTTTGTATTTTTCATTGTTGGAGCCCTATTGTTAAGCCCACCCAAAAAACTTTGAGCGCTTTGATTGGCCACGCAGATAACCATTCAGACCAATGGTGGACCAGCTGAGGCTACAATGGAGTGTGGCTAGACCGATCTGAAGAGTAAAATCTTTTTGCTACTGCCACGGTTGCTCCAGAAGTTGAGTGGCTAGATGGCACTTCTGGTTATCTTGTGCTGATTCGTTATAACTCAGTAGGAAAAGATATAGGCAGACTTTACCAAACTGCTGGCATCTGCGAAATTGGAAGAGTTGCTGGTGAAGCGGAATGAAAGGAAAAGAAAATAATCAGCTTTGATGCTACTTTTAAATCGCCTTTTCTTAACTACCAAAATGTCACAAAATACAGAGGAAATCCCCCCACAATGCCACAAGTCACAGCACTTTGTGGTCTTTTCCAGAGCACCGTAAAAATGGCAATTCTGATGACTGAACACCGCTTTTCACACCACACAGGCACTGCCTTGGTGCTCTGAAAGAATTAAATTACGACATATTTTGAGAGTAAAATGTCAACAGCGTCTATAGACGCTTTTTAGCGCTGATCAGTGACGTCTTAGCAAAGTCCTGAAAGGACTGGGTTTGTGTGGAAACGTGACTGTCATGTTCCTCCCTCCCAGGAATATCCAGAAACCCCTAAAGCAGAAATCCCATTGGTCATCATCACACACTGGTGAAATAACATCTCACTGCTGCAGCAGTGGCTACCCTCAGGAACTATTTGGTGGTTTAAACCCCCCCCAATCCAGCCCCTTGAAGCTGAGTGTCAAGCAGGAAAGCACGTGGTCCCATTTGTAAAGTCTTTGGTGTGACCAAACTGGGATTTGAACCCCGATCTCCCATTCCCAGGGCAGACACTCTACCACTAGGCCACAGAGAAGGTATAAAAATGCAGCTATTACAGCATTGAATGCTACATTGTTCATGCACACCTATAATAACTACTTTTACAAAAATAAATTGTAATGTTTGTCCTTAAAGCAGATTAGAGGAAATAAAAACCTGATTTAATACTTTTTTAAATTTTAACCTATCTATGGCCACCTTGTCTGTGCTTTAAAACCAACTCCATGAACTGTTTTGCAGGAAATCAAAGTGATAGTTGAAATACGAATCTCATATTCTGACGAAGTACCTCAGCAAGCAGAGTGGAAAGTTTCTGTAAGATATTGTTAGAATGTCAATAACTCAGCACCTGCTGTTATTCTGTTTATTCTGGGGTTTTTTAATCAGCTCACAGATGTCAGGGAGAATATGGTGGCAGAGCCATCAGCTAATGGGAATCCCGATAAGAAGCGCAAACACGAGGCTAAATAATGACAGGAAAGCCCATTGTAGCACTGAGTGGAAACGTAAAGAAGGTCTATTCTCAAATGAGAGTGCAGGAGAGTTTATTTTGTTTTCAAATTGGAGGTGGACAGTAATTACATTTAGTGTCATTAGTCTTTCCCCCTTGACTCTGCGTAGTCATCAAGGTAATGTATGTGGCTTTTCCTGTTTAGGCGAAAATGGATTTGTGCAGCATTAGCTGATGAAGCAGGTAAATTACATTATGTCCCTCAATGTGATCTTAATGTCAGTGATTCAGGGATGCATCAGCCTCGTAGACAGTCTAAGACTGGTTTCAGACACCACTTCACCACCCTGACTCGCTTTGGTGATAACCTAAACCAAGAAGACAGTCAGGTTGTTTTTCCTTACAAATCCCCACCTTAAAAATGATCAAAGAATGACTCATTTTGTGTCTAAAATCATCCGTACTGAAATTATCAAGAACAAAACTAAGAAATACAGGTCAGTGAATTACTCATTAGAGCACAAGATTGAATGTGCTGCGAAAAAGGCTGTCCTTTTGAAACTGAATGAAGAGATTCAATCATCAGTGCTTTTTTACAAATCTGTTAAAACCTTGATCTCTTGCTGCCTTTTGAAATTAGCTTTGAGGGAGTACTCATCAAAAGGTATTTAATATTTCAGAAATTTTTACAGATTTGTGTGAAAAAGTCTCTCACCAAACATTAGACTGTGAAGTATAGAAAAGATACTGAAGAAGAAATTCACAATGCAACTCAGAATAGTTAGTAAGCTGTTAGAAAGAAATTAAATTTTAATTATATAGCACTCATCATTAAAAATAATCTCAAAATGCTTCACAAACTGCTGCGTGCTTGTAAAAGTAATATCCATAGCGTTCCGTGCCACTTTTGCTTCCAGTGTGCAGCAGGGGTGACTTCCGTAAGGTACAAACCAGTCTAGATTAGTTCCAGAGATCCCCGCCAAGTCACAATGAAACTAAATAGATAAATAGTGCTATCACCAAATGAGATAGGTGTCGGGTTATTCATCATATGCATGTGTGAAGCCATGCTAATTAATAACATTGACCATTTGAAGATGTTGTTTTCTCTTGTTTTAATCGTGAGGCATCGGGCTGCGTACTGGAGGCTCTATTCGAAGGTCGCTGATTGTTATTTGTGTGTGCACAACCATCTTCAACAACACCATAAAGAGGGAAAAAGAAAGAGCAGAATCCTCCAACATCAGCAGCAAAGAAAATCACTTCAAAGACATGCTACATGAATGTTTCGGTGCTCTGATCCTGTTGTTGACCTCAAGAAACCGTGTCAGCTTGTGGAAATAGAGCCACTCTGTGTACTATAAATGTCATGATGACAAGTGACAATTTTACTTTTAATAGATTTAATGATGATTGCGTTTTACATTTAGAGGGCACATTTGCTGCTTTTAAAATATTTTCGACAAACTGCAAACATTTTGTTTTGCTTATTTCCCTTAAAGGAGCAACATGTAAGAATTCTACAGCAAAATAATAAACAGTCGAATGTCAAACTCAGACAGATTTCCTTCTTAGTCAGCTGGGGGCTTGTCCGTTTTTCTCCTTTTAAATGAACTTAAGAGGGACATAGTTGCTGTTTACAATAAGTGAGCCCATAAGGTTGCCGAGTCAGCGCCAAGCTAACGCTGCAGCGCCGGCATTTGCAATTCAACACCAAAGGCCGATAAATACTATACTGCATCTAATAAACACACTCAGACATTGATACAGACATTTAATTAAATAAATTAAAAGGTTAATATTTTGTTTTAAACAGGAAAATTAAAGGTTGAATATAGAACAATTTAATGAAAAGCTATATATATATATATATATATATATATATATATATATATATATATATATATATATATATATTTAAAATACCCCCATGGGTTGTTTAGAGGCGTGCAGAACGAAGGTACAGTATTTCCATGTAAAGCTATATTTTAAATAAATTATTATTTTGATGGGCATGACACTAGATTCATCTTTACATCTACTAGCCAGTAGAGGGCACCATTCTGAGTTGCCAAATACAGTAAAAAGTCGATCTGCCACTGTGAAATATAGTGGTCTCGGCAATTCATTATCCTTCTGAGACAACTACCCCTGACTGCATCCCGGAGATCGGGGCGGGGCTAAATGTGGGCGGGGTCAAACATTTAGAGGTGGGCGGAGACAACTATTTGACTCCTGCGTCCTGCCCCTCTCTCAATGGAACCAGGAAACCGCTATGCTATGTGTGTGTGCAATGCTGTAGCCGGAACAGAGGGAAGTAGCTGCCAAAATCAAGGTAAGCCAGGATTTTTCTTTCTCTGTTTTAACAATATCGTGGACCAATGTTGGGCGAACGTTTTATAAACTTGGAAATTAAAGGTTTTTTCCCCATTATGAGTTTTAGATGATACCTATAGCCTATTTTACACATGCGAGGCGACTTACTTTTGAGAAGAAATGTTTACAGGGTTCCCGCGGAGTCTTAAAAGCATTGAATTTATGAATTTGAAAGTAATACCTTTAAAAGACTGGAGAAACCCTTCAATTTTGGCATCTGGGTCTTAAAATTTGTGTTGGATGTAAGTTTTCTGTACTGCATTTTTCTTCTGAAGTTCATCAAAATATTCCAAAAAAGTGATGACACCAAGAGAAGCATTAGTATTAATAAAGGCTATTTTTAGACATTTATTTCAATTTTGTGTCTTTACTGTTTGCACTGTTGCTTTTATACAATAGAAATACTGCAAGAAATTAGGGTAATAAAATTAACAATAATAAAAAAAACGTCTTAAAATTAAACTAAAATATAGGCAACAAAAATTATTGTTAAGGTTCTAATGTCAAACCAGAGATCCGGTTATATTTTTAACCATTTGTTTAAAAATATAACCGATTTTCTACCAAGTGCCCACCCAGTGTTTTGTCAAAATATATTGGTAAAGTTGTATAGATAAATAAATGAAAACTAGTTCAATAATTTTATTTTATTTATTTACTTTTTTGCTGATAGTGCTGTGAAATAGGTATTAATTTTCTATATGGCTTTAGAACGATCTTAAACAGACTTAATTTTAAGTTGAAGAAACCTGTAGGAACACTTTTATAGCTTTGGGGAGATATGTTGTGTGGTCATGATTACTTTTTGGTGGAAAATATATTTTACAGGGGGAAATGTTAGTTTTTTAAGCTTTTTATGTTTGTATCTGAGTTCTACGCCTGATGGGCTTTATTATTATGGTTAGAGTGCTAATCTGATATGTGTAATTATATAAACGTTTTGCTCAGTCAAGTGTCAACAGAATAACATGAATGTTTTCATAGTGAATGAATGTTGTCATTGTATCACCAAGGTCTGAGGAAGACAGAGTGCAGGCTCGAAAAAGACGGAGAGAGGAAAGAGTAAAACAGGTGAGAGACAATTTGATTAATTCTTGTAGTTTAACTGTTGCTTGCATACTAAAGCATAATTCCTTCACTTATTTCAGGGCCTGGAAGTGGTCCCTCCTAAGAAGTCCTGCCATACTGAATTAGTCTGTGCAGCATCAGGTATTGTTCAAACAAGTATTATTGTACACAACCCCCTAGGTTGTCGAAATGGGATGTGGGAAGATTCAAGATTCAACTTTTTGTCATATGTACAGCTAGAAAAACATGCTTTCTGCACAATGAAATTCTTACTTTGCCAAGATTAGAAAATTAAGACCGTTCCAGACGAGCACTTTTTTTTTCAAAGCAAGTTTTTCAGTCATTTCTCTATTTTCATTAAACCAGAATACGAAGCAACTGATCTTTTTTACAACTTGCACTGTTAATATGCTTTTTATGAACCACAATCTTTTTCCTTTCTAGCAGAGGCTGAGAACTTGCTGGAACTGGACTTTTCTTGTGTCATTGTTTCTTCTCCAACCTCTATTTTAATTAGAGGTGTCAAATAATTCCATTATTTGCAATTAATTTTTTACAGCCATGATTACGTGTTATATATTTTAATTATGTTAATCATTTTTAATCTACTGCTTCTTTATGGGACTTACTTTTAAATAAACCAATTTCTTTTCTTTTACGCTTCTTGCTGGTGTTCTTGAAGGGTTGATGTAAACTCATAAGTTGAAGGGTTGACGTTACAGTGACAAGACCGGTGAGAGATTATTTGCAGCAGTGTTTATTTCAGCGACCTTGTTATCTTTACTCTGTTTTTTTCACCCTTCTTGCAACTTTTTCCAAAGTTATTGTTACCATTTGGATGTAATGGGTGTGTCACTGAGCATCAAGGCTGCTGACAGCTTCTCTCCTGTATCAGACACACATCCGTGCTGCAGTTTGGAAAGACCACAGCATCAGCTGTTTGGCTAGCTGTTAGCATTGAAAATAAGGCTTATATTATGTACATTTATTAGATTAAATTAAAAGATTAGCTTACTTTCAGATCATACATAATTAATGTAAAATATGTTTTTAATCTCTTGACAGCAGTAATTTTAATATTGTCTTTATTTTTGATTAGGAGAATTCTCTGCTTGAGGACACCTTTGAGGCAGCAAGGTGGTGTACCACAAGGTCCTTCAAAGGAAGCCTTTCCCTTCCCCAGGTCATCACCATGGACAGGGAAGCTTGCCGGAGGGCAGTGGAGAGGTTATGCTTCTGTGATGGCCTGGATGAAGAGGAGATGAACGATTGCAGGGAACCGTTCCTGTTCATGTTTAGTTTTCAGTCAGACTATGAGGAGTTCTGCAGAGAAATTGAGGAAAAAAGGAAGATGAAGGTGTTTTCTGGCTTTGAAATGCCATAGTACAGCGGTGTCACAGTTTTTGCATTCTTTTTCCTCCTCACATTGTTTTTTTGGAGGTTCTCTTGTTTTTTGTGTGCTTTGTGGTTCATTTGTTTGTACTTTTTTTTTATTCCTGTGTTGGCTGTTTGCTCTATTAAATTTACCTTTTTTGAAAAATTTTGTCTGCATTCTTGGGTGTCTCACACAATGTCTCACCACCCCGCCTCAAACCCTGGCATGTTTTAAGAAGTATCAGCACAATTTAAGTCTCTGGTCCTCTTAATGTAGCTGATATAACTGAGTGTACAACAAATTTACCCGTGTCTGTACTGTTTTACACTCACTTGGGAAATGACTATTAAAATAAAGGCGGCATTGATAAAATCAACTATTAAAATGGTTTTGACAGGTTTAAAGAATAGTCTATCAAATGCCTGAACCTTTTATATAGGTACCAAAAGTATAGCTAAAAGACACAAATACCTATGTGCTATAAATACACATACCATACAAAAGTAGAAAAAAGAATAAAAATATCAGAACAGATTGGATCAAAAATGGCGCCTGTAATTATCTGCTCTTTAAAATTATCATGACATCCAGCAAACAAGTCATTTGATTACCAATGTTATGCTTTACATGGGTTTTGTGGGTTTTTAGGGCTTTCTAATCCTTAGAAAGGGGCTACTCGCGGTTTCCTGGTTCCATTGAGAGAGGGGCAGGAGTCAAATAGTTGTCTCCACCCACCTCTAAACGTTTAACCCCGCCCACATTTAGCCCTGCCCCGATCTCCGGGATGCAGCCAGGGGCTACTCTTCTGAGAAGAGGAGCAGCCATTAAAGATCAAAAACCTGAGTGACTTTAGGTGAAGCCTACAACAGATGGACCCAAATAAAACATTTCAAATATCGGCAGCGAAACTGGTGTCCTGGTGGCTGGAAACCTTTTTCTATTGTTGAAACTGCAACCTCCACACACGAGATGTTGCTTTGGTGTTTATGTTTCATATTCAATTTTTGGCTTATTTTGATTTTACAATGAATGCATGAATATCTCAGATAAATAAAATTAAAACAGAATACAAATAATAAGCTACTTGGCAAAAAGGCTACTAAAAACCTGAGTAAAGGTTTGATCACAACAGCTGATTTAATTTGATAAACTTGTTTAATCAGATAGATGAAAATGTTTTACCATATGCAATATAATATAATTATATGGTTTCAAGGGCTAAACTAAGGCAAGGAAAATTTTATAACTGTATTTTCAAATAACAAATGAAAGTAGAAGAAACACATTTCCAAATCAGTCTTATTCACAATGAAACTTTAGTAAACTTCCAATAGATTGTGTATTTATGTTACAGCAGTCCAGCATAAATAATGACAGTGTTTAACCCTGAATGGAAAATTAGCAACCCACCTGTATGCTATATTTAAAAAGACACAATATGAGATAACTGTTCTGCTGTGAAAAGAAATGTAAGTCTTAAGTATATAAAAACAAATAATGTTCTCCACATTTTAATATCAATTTATTCGATAGATTTTACTCATAATTAACATTGTGAGATTTTTTTACATAGCAAACTGTGATTACAGCATCTATTTTCTTTCTGAAAATTTTAATCTGCCTTAAGTCTGTTGCATCTATGTTTGAGGTGTTTTTTTGCAGAGCAAAGCTGCCCTCCTGGTGGGAGGGTAACGCTGAAGTAGGGGTTGAATGAACTAGTCGACTAGTCAACCTCACTGCTCTGTAGTGACTTTTTATGCCTGTCATCGACTAGTCGCTGTCACGTGATAATGACAAGATGCAGTCCTCAGAAAAGACAGCAGGTGACGAGCCCCTGCGCGTCTGGATTGAGGCTGAAGACTCAGTACTGACACCCGCCGTAAAACGGACATTTAACCAAATTGTGACCTTTTCCCTGTTGCAATTTAACCTTCCCCTCACCCCCATCCTAATCTTAACCAGTTTGCGCATGCAAAGCTCTCGTTGACGCGCTACAGACATCTGCGTCCTGAGCACGGCCACAGTAACATTGTCAAATTAGGTGTCACCACTCAAAAACAAATGTAACGTGATCGTTCATGTCGGCTCATTTCCTTTTATGAATTCTGTCTTTTAGGAAGCAATATGTTGAAATAAACAACACAAAATCACATATAAATAACATTACTTGTGGTGTACCACAAGGGTCGGTATTGGGCCCTAAATTATTTATAATTTATATTAATGACATTGTTGAGGTATCCAATATATTAAAATGGACCTTATTTGCAGATGATACAACTTTTTATTATTCAGGAGAAAATGTTGAGCAGATGATAGAAGTGATACAAACAGAGATGAAAAGAAATTAAACTATGGTTTGATGGGAGCAAACTATCATTAAACAGTGATAAATCATGTTTTATGATATTTAGTAATACATGTTCAAAGGATGAAATTTTATTAAATATAGATGAGATTAATATTAAAAGAGTTAAAGAAGTCAAGTATCTGGGAGTCATCATTGATGAAAAAATGTCTTGGAAACTGCACATAAACAGTGTCAAAACTAAAATATCTAAAACTATTGCACTGTTACATAGAGCAAAATGGTTACTTGATAATAATTCACTATATTTGTTATGTGATTTTGTGTTGTTTATTTGAACATATTGCTGCCTATCGGTAAGATAGCTTATTATCCATTTTAGGGCCACCCCTGTGATGCCATATTTACTAAGTTGTTTAATAAGAATTTTATGATCACTGTATCGAATGCTTTTTTTAAATCAACAAAGATACTTACGAGATGTTTTTTTTTCAATGGATTCCGATATTTCTTCTGTTAATTCCATTAATGCCATGGATGTTGAATGATTTGTTCTAAACTACTTCACCAAGTGGCCAGAAGTGTACGCAATGCCGGATCAAAACTCTGCATCTACAGCTCAGCAGTTGGTGCACAAGATGTTCTCTCGTTTTGGAGTACCTGAGGAGCTGCACAGCGATCAGGGGAGAAACTTTGAGAGCCAGCTGTTCGGTGAGGTGTGCCGGCGGTTGGGGGTGACAAAGACTAGAACCACTCCGTTGCATCCCCAGAGTGATGGGCTGGTGGAACGGTTTAACCGCACTCTGGCGACTCAGCTGGCGATCCTCACCAGCAAACATCAGAGAGACTGGGATTTGCATTTGCCGATGGTGTTGTGGGCGTACCGCACTGTGGTGCAAGAGTCCAGTCAGAGCACTCCTGTGGCACTGATGTTCGGGAGGGAGCTCCGGACGCCAGTGGGGGGGGGCTGCGCTATGTGGTGGCCCTGCCACTGATAGGCCGGCAAGGCCACATTGCATTCTGGGGGGACGGTAAATTGGGATTGTTTATTCAGTTTGTGGTGTTCTTAGGTTTTTTTTGTTCAGGGTTATGTTAGTGTTGTTTGTTTCAGTTCAGAGTTCATGCTGTGTTGTTCTTATCCAGTGCCTGCTGGCACCGTGAGTTAAATGTACATGTGGGGGGGATGAAAAGGGAAGCCATCCAGCTATTAAAAGTGTTCTTTGTCTGCCACCTGTCGACTCTTCTTTGCTGCTTCACACACACCCCGCTAGAGGGCAGCGCAGACCGCTACAATATATTGAGCTCTTAAAGCACTCAATTTACCAAACTCTACAACAGTTTTTGTTTTTGTGAAGTGCCTCGTGATTTTTATCTTGAGAGGCGCTATAGAAAAGATCTCTTCTTCTTCTTCTTCTTCTTCTTCTTCTTCTTCTTCTTCTTCTATTATTGATGAAGTATAAATGGGCATGGAACTATGTTCATGTTGTGTACTGAGGTGGACATTAGGTGACAGCAGAGCTCTGCTAATATATTTAGAGGTGTAGTGTAGAGTTCAGGGGAAGTTCTGTTGAAAGTTACAAGATGAAAGCTGTGTGTGGTCATCCCTCCTGCTATAATAAAGTTCATATGGATAAAGGCCCTGCCTGCCTTCTTTACCAACTAGAAAACATAACGGTAAAAATAACTTTTTTTTTGTCCTTTCTTTTCTTCATGAAGAGCGATTTGTCTTCATTTGTTTAAGCGTTTAGTTATGTTTGGAGCTCATCAAAAATGTTTATATGGTGGTTTAGCCCAGGCTCTGCTCTTTTGCTAGATGATATTTATTAATACATAGGGCATAAATTATGGTGCTAAACTTTTCCGGCCCCTGATTGGGTGCTCGGACTCAAAGGAGTAAAAATTTAACACGTAATTTTTTTTCTAAATAATTAATCTAAATTAACGCTTTAATTTCCCACCCCTAATAAAAATGCAGAAATAAAGCAATACTCCTGTGTAGTGTCATCTTGTATTGAAAAATTAGTTCTAGCATTTTTTTCCTTTTATCAACATCAGGAAAATTATTTTTAAAACATTTAGTAGACGATTGATCTTTTATCCCTTTTCAAAGAGCTCCTATAGTCATTTGGATCATTATGCATTCATCTTCCACCATTTATTCTATTAAAACATGATCTTTATATCTAACCTGATTTTTGATCCTTGCATTTCCAAGCTGGTCTATAGATGTGGACACAGTGCTCCTTTTCTTCCCTTTTTGGTTTTGAGCTACTCGAGGAAACAAATGCACACAGGAAGGCTGTAATGTGGTTTCAGCGTATACGCCCCTGAGGTATAGCACCCTCAGGTGGAAAACCTCTCAGACTGTGTTGGCACATCACCGCTCCAATTACCAACAGCAGGAGTGCCCTTTCATTTCTATTACATCTCTCTTCCTTTCTTCTCACTGCAGCCCATCTTCTGCTCAGCTTTTTCCTCTGGTTCATTCACCTCCACTCACCTCTCCACATTTCTTTTAATCTTCTGTCTTGACAATACTTATATTTCTCTCCTTTTTTCTCTTTTGGCTGCTGCGTTGTACCGTGCTGAATTACTGACACTCACCAAAGAATCACCGACTTTTCTCAAGTCCAGGCCACATTTGGCCCTGGAAATGTCCCTTTAAATGAAGGAATGTTTCATTCTGAGGATGATCAAACTAGAGAGGATCTAACGGTTCAACTCTGTCACAGACTGAGACTTGCTCTATACCACCACAATCCGCAGGAGAACTGCTATCACATTTAAGCTGAGAGTCTCTAATCAGAGGAGTTTTATTGATCTCCTTTTTCTTCCTTTCACGGAGCATATCTACAGTCAAGTCTCATTTCATTCATTATTTCTTTCTTCTTTGATTGCAGTAACTTTCCTTCTGATTAGAAATCCATCTCCAAGTTTTTCCCATGTCTCATCTCTGCTGCAATTACCCACCTTTATTTACTCAGTCATTTATTTGATAAAAAACAGGCCTGTTTAGATTCATTAAGAGTCTGATACAGTATTGATCATTTTATCATTATACTATTTTCTTTGCATTCACTTTTTGATTAAGTAAACTTTTGAATTTTGTTTCATTTATCAGAGATGCTTCAGTTATAATCAAATCAAAAATACAATTGTTATTAATTTTAAAGTTATATACAAATGTAGTACTGCCAACCCTTTTGAAAAAAAATCCAGGTTTTGGTTTTTGTACCAAGTTTAAGCTCACTATCATGCCTTGACAAAGTTCTTAAGAGTCCAGATGTTCTTAAAGGCTCATTTCTGTTAGGTTAAAGCAAATGTGTTGAAGTCGCAAGGCTGTTTTATTATTATTATTATTATTATTATTATTATTATTATTATTATTATTATTATTATTATTATTATTATTAATTATAATTTATTTATTTACTCTGCATGAAAATCGAGG